CGATGAAAGATGCGATAAGATGTATAGGAAAGCAGCTTGGTAAGAAGTAGGTTAGCTAGACCTTCTAAACTCTGAAAGTAGGATGAGATAGTTACCCAAGAGCACTCAAGTTTCTAGAAAAGAATGTAGTTCTACGTATACTATCTTCATAGAAAGTAAAGGGATTCTTTTGAAAGTTGAGTATGGTATATCAAAGCACCGAGATCCCACACACCAAAAGATATGAATGAAGCACCATCAACACATCCAAAGGAGGTGCATTTTCCTCTGTCCAACCGGGAAACTCGCCTTCCCATTCTGTTCCCATAAACGTATTAAAACGATGAACGGCTCGATTGACATATACGACCCAAGCTTGATCCTTCTCCTGTTGTGAGCCTCCATTCATATGATGAACATCTTCCTTTAGCTTGGAGAATGCACCTAGGACCCTCAAATGGGCCTGTAAATCTTCCACGGCGATGACTGGTGGTGTTTTGAATTTCCCCACAGAGAATTCCCGAGGCAGGGATGGACCTGATACTGACGATGAAGCTGAGAACTCTGAGTAGACTGGGGGAGGAATATCTGCATCGATATCCATTGACGGGATAATAGGAAGGCTGCAAACAAAAAGCAGGCCAACTCTTGAACCGTTTATAACCTATTTGAAAGGAGCGACGTCAAGGATTGCGTCCGGGGCAGATGCAAGAAGACCAGGCGATTTGAAAGAGGAATTCGCACGGTGGTACAGTTTAGCTAGCAGAAAACGAGATAAGACCAGTACCAATCTGTGGAGGCACTGCGTTGTCGACCGCCTCCGAACTTTATCGCGGTGATAACGATATAATCGGCGTGCTCAAAAGTTCCGTGTCTTGGCTCGTAATCCTCGGATACTGGAGTCAACCAGCCTCGTTGGCTCTGTGAAGACGGGAATCGATCGGTGACGAGCATTCGGTTGAGTTACATTCATGTATAAACACTCCTAGTGAAACAGCAACCCTACATTTGGTCTACTGGGTTGTTTGTAGCTGATAAGAGACAAACGAGCAGTCAGTCGACGCTTGAGATTATTTTGGTGATTGACATGAATTGCATCGACAGAGTCCAGCCTTTAGCATGAATTGGCGCTATCAAATAGCGATCCGTTCACCCTTCGGAATTGATACGCATATAAATGCTGCGGAGCGTGCAGTTGAGCTGGTTCGGCTGCAAAGAAGTGGGGTTGACACAAATCATCGTGGGCGGTGTCTTTATCTAGGGCCAGAGACGTCAAGAAAGTAAAAGACCGAACAATAGGCTTACCAATCATATGGGAGGCTGTTTCAAAATTCAAGGCAGCGCAGCTCAGTTGTAAACGATAGATCGAACGGTTGGTGGTTCAACAACTGGAGCTTAAGGTCCCACACAGTTCGAGGATGCATGAAAACATAAGATAAGATCTATAATCTCCTCAAGGTAATGGAAATCAACGAGCCATGCTGAGATACGATGTAGAAAGGGGCCAAGAGTAAAGAGCAAAGCTCAACCTCAATTCATTTGTGACTCTGCGGACTTTTCGAGACAGCCAAATCGCAAAAAGGAGTAAAGGTTCAAAAATTCAAATAGAATAATCGATTCTAGCATGCATTTTGAACGATATAGAAAGATTTACGGGCGAAGAAAGGCGAATGAACTCTTTGTTTCACCTCATCATGATACCATCTCAGACTTGAAAGAACAATGATAGATAATTGGATTTATGAGACTATATTGAATACAAACTCGCGAACTGAAACTCAAACTTGGCTCGAATTTTCTACACCTCCCTTTAGATTTCTTTATTTACTTATCTGTATGTAACATTTCACCATATCAATAAATTTTCAGGTCCTTTGGGCAATCTTGACCGAGAACATCTCTCGAAAAGCAATTTAGACTCAATTACTACGAAAAATTGGCTAGCAGACCTTTTCCTACAAGACCTGACCTTCTCGGTCAGGAACAGGGGACGAAAAGGCAAAGTCCAAAAAAACAGCACCTCTGCATAAAGAAACGACCAAAACGGGACATTTGAGGCTGTTGAGATGGATTTATCGACTGTGTCAACAATAGAAGAGTGATAATAGTAGAGCTTGAAAATAGTGAGCAGGGAGATCGTGGCTGGACGTGGGGCTACATCAGAGCCTTAGGTCACGTAGTCGTCAAACAAGCTTTTGATTCAGTTAATACTTTGGTGGAAAACAAGACTTGGGCCTGTCGGTCAGGAATAAGACGTACCTGCTACTGCACAGGATCCCATCAATTTACGTTTATCGGCACAGGTAGCAGAGGTGGTACTACATCCTCCAATAGCATTATCGTACTTGCAAGCTGCCCAAAACCTATCACTGCGTTAGTAGATAGCCCGAGTGTCCATCGATTTGCTTACCCGAATGGGACGTTTGCCGAGACCCCCCAATAGGCATGATATCTTCCGTCTCCATCGTCTGTAAACGCTTCCGGGTGATCGGTTCGCCCTTGCTTTCGTTCGGCTTGTAATTGCTGCCATTCGTCAATGGATTTCTTTCCACCACCTTCTAATGTGTTAGCAGCCCGCTCTTTAGATTTCATCTGCCGAGCTATACGATCAAGCTGAGCTACCCCTTCTGCTGTAGACTCCCTGTGAAGATTGTGCTCAGATGGATGGGACGAGTCGGCGTCCTCCACCCCGGAGGGAGTTAGGTCTGGGTGACTTTCATGTGTTCCATATCTTGTC